AAAAAAAAAAACCCTATGATGTTTCGGTTGTTTCGTTATTGTCTTCATCTCTCTTTTATTTTTTTCTTCTTTCCGTGGTCATCTTTTCCCGCCAGAATCATGCCGGACGAAGGAGTAACTGTCATAACCACCACCGATAAACATAACGTCACCGTCACGTGGCGAGAATTCACTCGCTTTCTTGATGCCGGAAAGGGTAGCCAGGTCAGTGGCATATCGGAGCTGAAGAAGTACTTTAACCATTTTGGGTATCTGTCGATTCCTGGGAATGACAGCTTCACGGATGTCTTTGATAACGAGTTGGAATCTGCCGTCGTTCAGTACCAGCAAAAATTAGGTTTGCAGGTGACGGGGAAACTTGACACTGATACCATATCGACGATCGTGTCCCCGAGATGCGGTGTTTCGGATTCCCCGTTGAAGATGCACACTACGAAACATTTTACGTACTTTGAGGGGACGCCAAGGTGGGAAAAACAACCGGCAAACCTAACGTACGCTTTCTCACCGAACAACATGATTAATTACCTAAGTCTATCGGATATCCGGGAGGTTTTCCAGCGTTCTTTTTCGCGGTGGGCGTCAGTGATTCCGTTGAATTTCACGGAGATAAATGACTATGAATCGGCGGACATCAAAATCGGGTTTTACGGCGGAGACCATGGAGACGGGCAGCCGTTTGACGGGGTGCTGGGGGTTTTAGCCCATGCCTTTTCTCCCGACAACGGAAAGTTCCACCTCGACGCAGCAGAAACGTGGTCCATTGATTTTGGCAAGGAGAAGTCAAACGAGGCCATCGATTTGGAATCGGTGGCGACTCATGAGATCGGGCATGTTCTGGGGTTGGGTCATACCCCGGTGAAGGAAGCCGTGATGTACCCGAATTTGAGTCCACGGATGAAGAAGGTGGACCTAAAGATAGATGACGTGGAGGGAATTCAACAGTTATATGGGGCAAACCCGAACTTCAAGATGAGTTCTTTGTCGGAATCGGAAAATTCCTCCAACATGGGGGTTGGTCTGAAATTCACCAGCCCATCAAAGTGGCCTAGTTTGTTGGTTGTGGTAGTCTTGATTCTTCTGTTATCATGAGGCTTTTGTTTTTTTGTTCTTCTTTTTACAGGAGATTTCTAATTTTTTTTAAGGTGTAGAAAAACCATCCACAGTAAAAAAGTAAAAGGGAAGTAGTGAAAGTCGCAAAGGAATTGTTCATTTTTTTTTTTAAAGGAAAGTGTAATATAGTTCAAGAATTTTTTATTTTTTATTTAAAGTTATATAATAAAAAAAAAATTCTTTAGTATCTCTCAATGTATCTCATCCGTGCATAATGTGATTTAAACTTAGTATTTGTTAATTTAATTAATAGATATTGTGATTTATCAAAAATAAAAAAGTAAGTATTATTCTGTATTGTAAAAAGTTATAAAAAATATTTTAAAATTATGTTATTTTAATAAAATATCATAAAAACTTAAAATAATTTCATTTTTATTTTTATAAAATAAAATATTTTAATAAAATTTTATTAAAAAAACATAATTTTAAAGTATTTTTTATATAATCTTTTACAATACCTATTGATACTTGCTAACATATTTTTTTATTAAAAAGTCTTTTTGGGTGAATAGAATTTATTTTATTTATTTATTTATTTGGGTTAAGGGCAGGGGGAAAAGATGCCTAAAGAGAAAGGGGATGAGTTCAAAGGACTTGAACTAGCCACCAGCAAGTGATTATTATTATTATTAATTTTTTTTAACAGCAGCAATGGTTAAAAGTTAGAAATTAATTATGTTAATATTTTACTTTTGGTAAAGTTATACCATTAATTAAAGGTGCAATCCACCGACAATCCTGTTAAACTGCAGTAACCATCAATGAGTTACAACAGGAGAATGCAACAGGAGAATGCAACAGGAGAATGCACCAAGTGATTATTAATTTCTACTAAGGATGAAGTCGCTTTCACTTGTGATTCAAAGGGTGGAAAGAAGGAACATACGCTAAAACAAAAAACACGTTTAATAAAGAAGGAAAAACCTTGAAAGTGGGAGGCATGAAAAGTTTGAAAAAGGAACATTAACAATTTTCGATTAGTCAATTAGCTTGTTTACGAATTACGACTGAGCTTCGTGGAAATTTAGACGAAAATTCTATATATGTTGTATACTTGACTTCTTTTTCTTTGAAAATTTGATGAAGGTATTAATTCTTGACTTGAAAAATATACCAAATATGAAAAATCAATTATTAGAGAACCCGCCGTGTTGAATTGGTTTTGTTATTGCCCCCAAAGAATATATGCCTAAACTTAAACATAGGCAAAAAAGGAAACGAAAGTATGGACAAGGAAGAAATGCAAAAGAAGGCTTGTTTTTTGGAGGGATTGAGAGAATGCATTCCTTAGGAAACCAAAAATTTTAAAATGAATGCCAATTACATACCTTGGTAAAGACTCGATGAGGCCATCACATCACCCCTTTAACATAATAGATTCGTTTGCCTAACTAAAAATTTTATAAAAATTTTATAAAAATACCAATAACTTAAATAATTCAGTGGTCATCTCGTTCTACTAAAAGTAAAAAATCCTAAGTTTTAGTCACATAACAAGTGGGTGAACTAAAATAAAAAATGAAATATTGTTGTTTCTCATTGTGCAACAAAAAAAAAAACTTTTATAAAAGTGTTAATTTGAATAGATTTTTTTTTTAATTATTATTATGAGTAATATTAAAATGAGTCATTTATTTTAAAGTTTAGATTATATCGAATTGAAAAATAAAAGTTATTAGATAATAATTGTCAAATACAATCTGAACTACATGACAATGTTTCTTATTAAAATTTATAAAGTTAATAGAGGTCTTCACGGTATGGATTAGTTTAAATTTTAATATTTTTAAAATTAAATTAATTTAATTAATTAGTAAAATTTTTAAATTAATAATTTATTATTATATTATAATTAAATCCATCTAACTTAGATCAAATCAGTTTGATTTTTGATTGAATGGATTAGTTTTTGATACTATTTTAAATATATTTGATTAAATAAAAAATTTGAATATCAAATTGTAAAAGGATACAATTATAAACCACACTAACATTATAAATAACAAAATAATAATAGTATCAATAAGGCAACCAAAATATGTAAACCCAAGCTCTAACTACTCAAGAATAGAGAATTTTAAGTGCAGAACTTTTATTTGTGTAAGGGACGGTTTAGAGCTGCACTCTTTTTTTCTTTTTTCTTTTTTTTGTGATGGATAGAGAGTTTCACTATTTTTTGATTAACTTATATTATAAAATAATAGAATAAAAATAGAAATAATAGTTAATACAATTAATATTATAGTACAATAATTCAAAAATATTATACTATAGAAATAAGAAAAGTAAAAAAAAACTTAAACAAAATTTGTTAATTATATTTTTATTTTACCAAAAAATTCAAAAAATATATTTACTAAAAAAAT